GAACCTTGTGTAACCGCACTTTCTATATATTTGTTGCAAGACAAGGTGCTCCTTGTGAAAAGTGACATAAGTCTTCTCGAGCATTTCTGCTTCTGTGACGGGCTTTCCACAATACTTTAATTATGAAAGTATCCTCAGCATAGCGGAATTGTATTCATCCACTTTCTAAAAGTCTTGAAACCTCAGATTTTTCCACTCTTCTAGAGCATAAGGGAGGTTGACATCCTTCTGGTTGTCAAACCTTTCTTTCAGAGCTCGCCACAACTCTGCTGGGTCTTTTATGTTCGCATAGTCATGCGTTACATTTTCATCCAAATGCTTCCTCAGGAAGATTATCGCATCCGCCTTGTCTGGGGCAGGCGCTTCGTTTCCAGTTTTTATTGTATCGGTTAACTTTTTCATTTCGAGATAAAGTTCCACTCCCATGCTATGTAGTTTTCTCCAGTTATTTTGAGAGCCAGAAACATAGCTTCTCAGTGTTTGCCATTTGGTTTTCTAAAATAAAATGACAAATAATATAATTAGAAAAATGATTTTATTAAATTTAGAATATGCGAGGTACCAGAATAAATAACAATATTTACAAGGAAAACTAATGCATAAAACATCAAAATGAAAATCATCACATATTCTTCTGGAGAAAATTCTCCGATGAGTAAACTATAAAAGACAACAAGGCTATAACCAATTACAAAAAAAAAAAAAAGATGAAGCATTTTTGTTTTATGAATACAAATTATTTTGTTTGAAGGACAATTTGAGTGAAGTGAATGAATGAAATATGAGAGTATTTATAGATGAAGAAACACTGTTCATTAGCCGTTTGAAAAAGATGAAAAAAAAAAATCTTTGTTACCGTTGAGTGGTAAAAAGTTAAAAATAAAATCAATCAAAACTTTTAATGAACAATCAGTTAAATCTATCAATTTCATATAAAAATATATATATACAGGTGGCCGAGCCTCCATTTATAATAACCATATTATATATAAACATTTAACAGTGATATTATGGTAACTGAATCATCCACGTTTAGACAATAATTTAATTAAGGCGGCTTAGCCGTCGAGCATAATATGAACAGTAAATAAATGATTATGGTGCATTAGCATCCATGATATAATGATTATAAAATATTAACAAGGCGACAAACCGTCCACTATAATATTAAGTAAATAATGGTGTGTAAAACAACCACTTAATCATAAATAAGTATATAGGCGATATACCGCTTGTTATAGTAGTATATATAATATACACATATATATAGCTGTATTGTAGAATAACCGTGCTTGTAATATAGTATAATAGGCTATATAATTTATCGTATAGATAAATATAAATAAGAACAAAAAAAATTATACCTGCAGAAATTAAGATACTGAAGAAAGGGACGAGAGAAAGAGAGAAAGAAGTTTATACTGCTTTTATATTGAGAGAATAAGTTGTTTATTATAAATGACTGAAGATCGTTCTATGTATAGATAGTAAAAAGATAAATTTACTGTGTGCATAGTGACGATGAGCTCCCTAACTTGTTTTATCACGTTTCACATATTTCTGACTTTGGAAACCTTATATTATTGACCTTTTCAGAAGTCTTATATTGTTGACATTTCATAACAATATATATATATATATATATACTAAGAATTTTTTAAAATTTTTTTAATATAATTCTTTAAAAAAAAGCTCCGACAGAGTTACAACACTACAACGTCATCAGATCTATACAAACATGATATGCAATTAGCAATCTATGCTAAGCGAAAACTAAACCTAACAACAGATTAGCTTAGCTAAGAAAGTAAACCATGAGGTGAGAAAGGAGACTGTGGAGGAGCAAGATAGAGGATCCAACCTGAAGTGAATATTAGCGTTGATATCCGCAGGTACTGCATCCGCTGATCTCAACAGACCTGAGTGTAGCCTCGCATTCCTCTCTTTCCATATACAATATATAGAAATATGATTGGCTAGCTTGAGGATTAAGGCAATGTTCTTGTCTTTAATAGGGTCATTCATCCATCTCAATCCATCATCAAACAAAACGGAAGGATTAAGATGGACTTTGGAAGAGAAGAAAGACCAAACCTCATTACCAATTGGGCAATCAAAGCAGAGATGCTGCCGAGATTCATCATGGACGCTACACAGAAGACAAGCAGACGGGGCAAGGAGATCCCAACTATGCAATCTGTTTCTAGTTGGGAGGCGATTTGTTACAATGACACAGGAGAGAAACATGTTTTGAGATCCTCCCTTTGAACCAAACCGTCGAATGCCAATCAACTTCAGGCCCTTGAGGATGGAGAGTAGCCCACGTGAGTGAACTTCAGAACGACAGTGATGGAGTATTCTGGCCTGCCTTCCAAAAGAACACATCATCAACCTCTGAGTCGAGAATTGGTGCAACTGGAAACATACACTGTTTTAAGAGCAAAATTTTCCTACGAAAGGATTTAAGATACCACTCTCCTTGCTTAATAGCTTGTGAAACCAAAGTCTGAATAGGGAGACCAAATATTCTTGGGCTAGCAACACCAGTCAAATTGATCAAAGGACCCAAGAAGTCGAATTATCAAGCCAAAAGTAGCAAAAATATCTGATCCCACTTCATACATGACGAAGGGACTGAGCTAGTGGTCGGAGCTTGCATAAATTCTTCCAAATCCAGCTTCCTGAGTTACCTATATCAAAGCTCCAAAAATTAGAGACGCCAATCAAGTTAAGCCTTACCCAAGAAACCCATAGAGAACCTGCTGCAGTAAAGATAAGCTAAATCAGTTTGATACCGAGAACCTTGTTCCACGCCTCTAATATCCTAAGCTCGAGTCCTCCATACTCCTTAGAAGAACACACGGAGTCCCAACTTATATTTGCTCCACGAGCCGAGTTAGGAGCTCCTTTCCAGAGAAACCTGTTACACATTTGTTCCAGCACTTTCACACACTGATTTTGCAAAATGAAAATTGATGCCCTGAACGAGATAGTTGAGTAAATGAAAGATTGAAGCAGCTGAAGACGCCTCGCAAAAGAGAGATGCCTAACTGACCAAGAGGAAACCCGATTTGCTATTCTGTCAACCAAAGGTTGAAAATCTTGCTTCCTCAACTTCCTAGACGTTAGGAGAACCTGAGATACCGAACAGGAAAAAAATTCATGCTGTAGCCAAAGCCTACATGCTATACCAGCATTAGCTTCAAAATCTCCCCCATAGAAGAATACAGCTGATTTATTACGATTAACCGCAAGACCTAAGGCATTTCTGAAGTTTTCCAAGATGGACAAAACTCCTAGAAGGGAAGCTTTATACCCGTCAAAGCAAAGAAGCACATCATCCGCAAAGCTTAGGTGAGTCACCAGACGAGTAATACAACGAGGGTGAACAATGAAAACACCATCTACTGCACCATAGTCCAGTAACTTCAAGAAATTATCCATGGCCTGGACATAAAAGAGAGAAAGAATCGGATCTCCTTGTCGCAGGCCCTTCTTTAGCAGACTAATCACAAAAATTCTATTTGAATTGTCATAAGCCCTCGTTATATCCACTTGGAAACAACCTCTAGGCGTAGGACCCCTCATATGAAAATTCAGAACCAGTTTCGATGCCAACACCACATTCTCACCCAACAACCTCCTATTAACAAAGCCCACTTGGTTATTTTGAACTGCTTGGGGAATTACTAGCTCGAGTCTCTTCTTTAGAATTCGAGCAATAACTTTATACACTATGGAGAAACAAGAAACTGGTCAGAATAAAGCCAATTGATCAGCATCTGTAATTTTTGGGATAAGAGCTTTTAGTTGGTAGTGGAGTGTAACGGAATGGAACGCTTGAGATTGACTTGGATTGTAATGCGGCGCAGTGAAGCTTGGGCTTAGGCGGCGGACGTTGTTTGAAGAAAAAGCATGCGATGGAATCCATAACAAGTGCAAGAAGAGCTAGAGTGCCTGGCTTTGAGGCTGGAAGATTTGTTGAGAATCTTCATGAGTTCTACATTTTGATTCTGTATAACACATGCACATGTTGTGCAATAGCTTTTAGTTGAGAATGCAACAGACCACCGGCGTTGACCAAATGATGATGGAGATATCTGTCATGACTGTGAAAACTGCTCTGGTAGAGATCTGGTGGTTGAGGTGAGGACGTTGGCCTGATGCGATGGAGTTGACAGAGCCTTAAATGCTTTTTGTTTTGTTTTGTTTTTTAATTTCTAAAATTTTAAAAACAGAAACAATATACAGTAACTCCAAAATAAAAATAAAGAAGCATCATGGCTTGAGGAAACACTATAACTTGATAGGCTTAAAAGTATATAGCTTACATTTCTCATATGGTTTATAGGTTCCGTCTCTAAGAGGGCTTGTAACAATAACTTTCAGATTTTAAATTACTTTTGAGCAATACCTTTATATATAAAATTTGAGGATCTATCATTTACCAAGAGTTATATTGGTATATTAGTTAGTGCATGTGAGATTATATCTGCGAGAATTTGGATTACACAAGATGAAGAGTTATCTCCAATAAATTAGGGAGCCTGCCAACCTCCATCATTTAAAAATGAATAGGGATTATATATAGACTTAAAGATGTATATAGTTAAAAACAGCCATAATTAGGAATAGAGTTGTCACTTTACGGGTAGTAAAACCTTGCCAATGCCAATCTATAAAATTTATGAGTCTTATAACTTTACTATGTAAAAAATATATCCCACAGGAATGGGATTTCAACTAATATACAGTATAAGGGGTATGACCAATCCATTCATTGACACTTAGTTTTGAGTTTAAAATTCATGAAACTTTACATGATATCAGATCGTTTTGAGTCAAAAGTTTGCCTGATCCAAAATGAATCTGGTATATCTAACATGAAATTATCCTATGGATTCTGGAGAGAGAAGAGGCATTATCTCGGTTGGGCATGTGAAGAATATATCCCCACGTCAGAAGTGGGAATATATTTGAACTAATATATGGGACATGGGCTAGAAACTTGGGTTCAGGGATGTCACAACTGTACTCATTCCTATTTAGTTTTGAATTGAAATCCTATGAACCTTAACATACTATGGTACGTGATGCAGGTTTGTTTGATTCGGTTGTATCTCCAGACTATATAAGTAAGGAAATCGTGAATTGCTTAACTATGGCGGAAGAAGGAATACATGCTGTGTTGTTTGTCATATCTGCGAGGAATCGGATTTCACAGGAGGAAGAGTCCACACTTAATACCTTGCAACGCATATTCGAGAGCAAAATCCTTAACTATTTTATTGTTGTGTTCACCGGTGGCGACGAGTTGGAAGTTGACAAGCAGACGTTAGACGATTATTTGCGTGAAGGTTGCCCTGAATTTCTGACGGTCTGTTTGTGCAGTGATTAATGTTTCCGCACATCTCTCTCTTCCCGAATTTCTCCTGTTATTACTTACACTAGTTTTGATATTTCAGAGAGTTCTCAGACTATGTGGTGGACGAAAGGTCCTAATTAATAACAGGACTACAGATAAAGTTAAGAAGGCTGAGCAACTCAAGCAACTTCTTGCCCATATCGTAGATGTCGGAAAGCAAAATGGTCAAAAACCGTATACGGACCAGATGCACCGTCAGATAAAGGTAGAGAGAAGTATGTTAACATGCATAAAATAAGAATTGATCTCTAGTTAAATAACTGTGTGGTGGCCAATTAATGTGAACACGGAATTTCTATAGCTGTTTGTGGGTAAAATGCTTTATTTTTTTATTTTTTTAGTGTTTTTATTTAGATAATTATTTTTTAATGTCGTATTCCAGGAGGAGGGTGATAGGCTCAGGGAACAACAAAGGAAGGTTGAGTCTGAGAAACATGCAGCGGAAGCAGCAATGATGATGAAGAATTTAGAATTGGAGTATGACGAAAAAATGAGACGGATGGCACAAATTGTAAATTCGTAAACTTCCAGTTATAAGTGAACAGCAATGATATTTTCTTGCTTTATTTCGATATAATGTTATGTGATTATATTTCAGTTGGAGAGAAGGCTAAAACAGAGTTCCGAAGCACATGAAAGAGCGATTCGTGAGCTGAGAGAAGCTTTGCCCATTGGGCTGCCTCAAAATGTTCCAGGACTCATTCATCCATTCCCTCAGCATGTTCCGATGTTTAATCAATTCCCCCAGCTGAGGCCACCAGAATGCAACATTATGTGATTGATGTCCCTAATTTTGCTGAGAGAGTAAATAAAAATTCTTTTTTTTGTGTAAGACAAAGAAAGAGTGATGACTGAGGTTATATCTAATGTTCTCATTAGCTCATTGCACATCTTTCAAATTGACACGAAGTTTTATTTTGTGTGCTTCCTCTTTCCGTTTCATTATTGCATTTCCCATTTCTCTTGTAATGTTAGAGATAAGGTCATCTCCATTCGTACTTGTAAAAAAAAAATTGTTTGCAACTAAACAGTCTTGAAGCGTCTAGGAAATTTTGTAGTTTTTCAACTATTCAGGAGAATAACCATATTCCACCTCAGCAATGATGGGTCACGATCCAAATTTGTACCTGCACTCATCATTTGCGCGAAAATCTTATCACATTCCATATTTTTGTAGATTTTATACCTGAATATTGACTCAATCTCTATAAATCACATTTGATAATGATATTACTATTAAGTTACAAAAAAAATCAAAAAAAAAATATATTTTTTAATAAACAAATATTATGTGTCTAATAGTAAATCACCAAAAATCAAAATCTTTATTTTTTTATTTATAAAAATCTTTTTTTATATGAAAGAAATTATCCAACTATAATTGAATCACTATAATTAGTTAAAATTAAAAAAAAAAATTAACAACGAATAAGTTCTGTCAAACATATTCAATGTAAACAATTAGATTTATTATTGACATGTTTGGATTTGTATAGACTCTACAGATGTATCTATCTAATTATGGTTTTTTTGTAAATCTATATTATCAGAAAAAAATCAAAAATATTCCGGATCATTGTCATTGTCAATTTACGTCAACAAAAATATCATCAAAAATTTACAATGGCAAAATATTTATAAATTTTAAATTTATTAAAACTAAAATAACTAAAAATTATCTATGATTTTTTTGTCTTTTTATAGATTTATATTATATTTTTGATTTCGATTTACCTAAAATGGTAAAACAAAAATGTAGTTTATTTTATAGCATAAATAAGGGGGTTAAAGCCATTTTATTTTATTTCTTTGATTTTTAACATTTTCTTTTTGATATTGATAATCGATTATATAATTTTCTATATCTAATTGGAAAACATAAAATATTTTTTAAAACTAATTATATATATATGTTAATTGATTGAGTTTTTTACATGTGTCAAAATTGGAATTAAAAAATTTAACATATGTTGCAATTTGAAAGACGTGAATTATCGATTTTGATGCATGTAACTTTACATAATAACTAAATATATAAATTTGCGCTACGCGCGAGTCTGTATTAATAGTTTGATTTAATTTTTTTTTAGCTACCATCTTTTATATTATTAAAACTATAATATATTTATAGAAATTTTTATTTATATAAGAGAATTTAATAAATAATGTGTAATTTTCTCATATTTTTATTTATAAAATTTTGAAAATTATTAGGTAAAATAATAACAATAACACATATCGAATTATCCAACTTTGACGTACATATACATTTAATTTAGAGAAACATTTTCTTGCTAAGATATTGATATTTTTTCTGTATACCAGAGAATTCATATAGTTCTTTTTTCTTAAAGGTTTATGTGTTAAAATATGTAGTTTTTTATTGAAAGTCTTATTGATGTTGTGTATTACTGCATATATAATCCATGATTTATGTTGATTCACATTTAATTTTGTTAGGAAGTTGCAATGATCACACAAAACCATTTCTTCCCTATCCACCATGTCTACTAAGAGTTTTGGCTTATATTTTTATTCAATTTTCATTGATATCTTTTTTTTTACAGTCTAATATTTTATAATTTTAGTTTTCAAACTTGTAGGATCGGTGGTATGGAGTCTTTGTGTCACTGTTTTTATCTTTTGTGTGCAATATGCATGCTTTGATTTGAATATTTTATCTACATATATCAATTTAAGTTTTTGGTTTTTTTTTCACATAATTTTCTTTCCTATTTGTTACTTAAGCTTTTTTTATTTTGATTTTTCCATCTATAAAATGAAATCAATGTTTTTCTTTTCTTGTCAATTAATTTAGAGGTTAGAATTTTTCTAATTTATATTATAAGTTTGAACTTTTTTGTTATTTTAACTCTTTTGAAAACAAATTTCTATTTTTTTTTAAATAATATTTTTGGATTTTTTAACATAATTTTATTTTCTATTTGTTACTTAATTTTTTTATTTAATTTTTCTATTTTTAAAACGAAATTAAGGTTTTAATCATACTTAACATATTTTTGTTTAATGAATATGCTGATGTGGACCAATCAGATCGAGTTTTTTAATCTCATGTGGACGTCATCAATGCACTATGCCATCAACTATTATATATTAAACTAGGTATACAACTCGCGCTACACGTGAGTCTGTATTAATAATTTGGTTTATTTTTTATAGCTACTATCTTTAAAATTATTAAATATATAATATATTTATATAAATTTTTATTTATATAAGAGAATGTAATATATAATGTGTAATTTATCCTATTTTTATTTATAAAATTTTGAAAAACTATTAGGTAAAATAATAACAATGACACCTATCGAATTATCCAGCTTTGACGTACATATACATTTGATTTAGACAAATATAATCTTGCTAAGATTTTAGTATTATTTTCTGTTTTCCATAGATTTTCTATAGTTCTTTTTTTCTTGATGGTTTATGTGTTCAAATATTTAGTTTTTTATAGAAAGTCTTATTGTTGTTGTGTACCACTGTATATATAATCCATGATTCATATTGATTCGCATTTAATTTTGTTAGGAAGCTGTAATGATCATGCAAAACCATTTTTTCCTTCTCCATCATGTCTTCCAAGAATTTTATGTTATACTTTAATTCAGTTTTTATTGTTTTAATTGTTAAATCGAGTTGTTGTAGATTTTTTTAAATTGATAATTGATAATAGTTACTTTTTTATATACATGTATTGTTAATTATTATTTTTTTATTTATTTAAATTTTTAAACCATATTAACATTTTCTGATTTAATAAATATGTTAATTTGGATCAATCAAATTAAATTTACTTTTTTTGTAGGACATAATTTGTTAAATTAACTTTTAATATTTTAATTATACTTAATAATTTTTTGTTTGATTTAAAAGCTGATGTGGACCAATTAAATCAAGTTTTTCCGTCGTAATCATACTTAACATTTTTTTATTTAATGAATATGCTGATGTAGACCAATCAGATCGAGTTTTTTAATCCCATGTGGACGTCTTCAATGCACTATGCCTTCAACTTTTATATATTATATGATGATTAACATAAAATATTATTTTTGGTTAGTTAAGTTTTTTGTATTAATTTTCTAAATAATTATGCTAAATATCAAGTTTTAGATGACTTTTACTTTTGTTAATTTAACATGATTATTTTTTTGGTAGTATTGATATTTTAAATAAAAATTTTATATGTTTCTATAAAAATTTAATCTTGAATTTTTTTAAAATAAATTAATCATTTAAAATATATATGCTAATTTGTTTTTAATTTAACTTTTTCTTTATTGATTTACATATTTGTTTTTGTTAGTTTAGTTTTTGTGACAATGAGTTTCTATATATTTTTTTGAAAAACATTATAGATTTAGATTTTTGACTTAAATGTTTTATTTAGTTAAAAAAATTATCTTAATTTTCCATTCTACTGTGACAATTTTATATTTTTGCATGTTATAATTTATTTAAATTATTAATAATATTTAATATTTTTTATGTTTAATGAAAAACGCTGATATAGACCAATCAGATTGAGTATATATGTCATATGAAGACGCTCTCATTGGTCTAAGACATCAACACGGATCACAACTAATATATTTTAAATTAGCAGTTCAAATTTTAATTGTTTGTCGTGATTAAAATTTAAAAGTAATTTAATTATGGTTTTAAATACAGTTTTTTAATTATTTTGTTTAATATATTTGATTTTTCTTTCATAATCTATTTATATTTTAATTTACTTTTTATTGTTTATAGGAAAATAAGATCTATATTCAAAACTGTTTTTATTAATAAAAAACTTAAAATTTAGAAACTTTCCTAATAACAACAAAAACCGAATTAATTAAAATTTAGAAATTTATCTTATAACAATTAAAATGAATTAATTAATTTTAATATAATATATAATTAACTAAAGATAATGATGATGTGTACCAATAGAATTGAATCTTTAAACCCTATGTAAACACCCTTAGAGACATTTAGCATCAACTTTTATTAGTAACTAGGTTTTTAACTCGCGCTACGCGCAAGTCTGTATTAATAATTTGATTTATTTTTTTGGATAATATCTTTTAAATTATCAAAACTATAATATATTTATAGAAATTTTCTTCTATATATAAAAAAATAAAACATAGTATGTACTTTTTCCTATTTTTTGTTTATAAAATTATAAATATTATTAAGCAAAATCATAGTAATGACACCAAACGAATTATCCAACTTCGATGTGCATACCTTTGATTTAGAAAATGATTTCCTTACTAAATTTTTGGTGTTTTGTTTTGTGTCCTTAGAATTTCTATAGTTCTTTTTTTAAAGGTTTATATATTTAAATATTTAGTTTTTTACTAAATGCCTGACTAATATTGTGTACCTATACATATATAATATATGATATATGTTGATTCAGATTTACTTTTGTTTGTAAGCTATGTACCCTAATCGTGTAAAACTGCTTTTTGCTTCTCCACCAGATCTTCAACGAATTTTAGGTTATATCTGTATTCAGTTTATAAGATCTGTTTTATTGCAGTCAACTATTTGCTAATTTTTGTTTTTAAACATGTAAGATAGTGTGAAGACTTTACATTATCGATGTTTTTTTTTTATCTTTTATGTATTTTATTCATATTTTGATTTGAATAATTTATCTACATATATTTCCATTTGAATTTGATTCGTAACTTTTTTATATATTATTATTAAAATTAAATTTTAGAAGATGTTGCTCATATGTTGTTCATGTTGGCTAAGTTATAATCTAGCATAGATGTATACAAATCAGACTTTATTACTTGTTATATTTTGAATATAAAATTACTTGTGTAGTATTTTACTTAGTTAGTTTTTAAACCAGACGCATCCAAGATATTAATTTTGTAAATTCAAATAATATGTTTGATTTAGAAACTGGTAAAACCTACTATAACTTTATATGGTTATTCATAATCAACACCAATATTTTAGATGCCATGAATTTTTTGGAACTAAATTTCAAACTAATTTTCTTCTTAGATCTTGTTTTTGTTATTTTAAATATCTTCGATGGTAATTTTTTATTTTATTTTAATTATCTTATTTATTGGATGTTTGATATACTTAAAACATATATATTTTAATTAATATCTTTTGTTATTGCTTTTCCAAATATGTAGCATATATATTAATCTTATATCTTTTACATAAATGTTTTTTCTTTGTTAAATTTAATTTTAAAATTTATTAAAATGCTATTTTGACATGCTATACATGGTTATTCTAAATTTTAAGTAAACTTTTCTTAAAAGCTTATACCATCATTTGCTTTTTTTAGTTAATATTTTTTTGGTAGTTAGCCTAATTATCAAGCTAATTTTACTTTATACGACTTTTACCTTTGATAATTTACCTCTCTTGATATTGATTTTTATTTTATTTTAACACACAATTGTTTTGAAAATATTGATATTTTGAAGACATAATTTCATTTTTTATTTTTTCTAAGTTAAATGTTTTTATATGTATTTTTTAAGTACTTAGTCAAATATCAAGTCAATAAGTGTTTTTTTTTTAAATTAATATTTTGTAAAACTTAATTTTTGTTTTAGTTTTTTAGTTAATTAATTTCTTAATATTGATTTTTTAAATAATTATCTTAAATATTTATATTATTTTTGTTAGTTAAGTTTTTTAGTATTACTTAAGTTTTTTTATTCTCTTACTTATTTTGTTTATATTGATTTTGTTAAATAAATAACATAAATATCAAATTAATATCCTTTTTGTTAATTTAACTTTCTCGATATAGACTTTTATTTTAATTGTATTGACATGTTGCAAGAAATAATTTATGTTTTGTTTTTTGTTAGTTAAACATATTTTCACATTGCTTTATTCAGTAATTAATATAAAATATCATTTTTTGTTCGTTAAATTTTTTGTGTTAATTTTCTAAATAATTACTTTAAATATCACGTTTTAGATGACTTTTTCTTTTGATAATTCAACATGAATATTTTTTTGGTTGTATTGATATTTTTAAATAATAATTTTATAAGTTTATATAAAAATTTAATCTTAATATTTTTCTAAATAAATTACTCATATGCTAAATTTTTTATTTTTTTAATTTAACTTTTTCGTTATTGATTTACATATTGTTTTTGTTAGTTTAGTTTTTGTGACAATGAGTTTCCATTTTATTTTAACAAACGTTATAGATTAGGATTTTTGGCATAAATTTATTTTATTTAGTTAAAAAAAATTTAACTAAATTTTCCATTCTACTGTGATAATTTTATATTTTTACATATTTTAGTTATTAATAATATTTAATATTTTTTATGTTTAATCAATGAAAAATACTGACATAGACCAATCAGATTGACTATATATATCCTATGTAGACGCTCTCAATGGCCTAGAATATCAACACAGACCACAACTAATATATTTTAAGTTAACAGTTCAGATTTTAATTGTTTGTCTTGATTAAAATTTTAAAATAATTTAATTATGGTTTTAAATACAGATTTTAATTATTTTGTTCAATATATATGATTTTTCTTTCATAATCTATATATATTAATAGAAAAATAAGATTTATTTTCAAAACTATTTTTTTATTAATAACTAACTTAAAATTAAGAAACTTTCCTAATAAGAATAGAAACAAAATTAGTTAAAATTTAGAAATTGTTCTTATAACAATTAAAACGAATTAATTAATTTTAATATACAATTTATAATTAACATAAAAAAACGATGATGTATATCAATAGAATTGAATCCTTAAATCCTATGTGGACACTCTTAGAGGCATGCATCAACTTTTATTAGTAATAGATAAACTTTTTTTTATTCATTTTACATTTTTTTTTGATGATTCAGCATATATATATATATATATCATGGCTGCGTGGGCATAATCAAACAATTAATTGAGTAATTTATGTTCAAAACTACCACTTTTAAGAGTATGAAAGAGAAAAGAATAAAGTTTAGGAAAGTTTTCGTACAAAAGTGAACATCTCACGTAGTGCAGCCAAATAGGAAATAACCATTCTCCTAATATTAATTTAATCATCCCATTTTTTTAAGTGTACAATTTATCATCATTAACTAATAGATGATGCATAAAAACTTAAAACTTTGTATTTTTGAAATAATTGTCTCTTCTAAAAAATTAATTACTCTAATTTGAAATGAAGGGAGTATTTTGAGTATTTTTGTTAGCCGAGAAATATTGGAAAACATTTTGTATTTTTTATTTTATTTTTCTTTTGGAAGAGTAAAGCATATCAGTGGTGACAAGATGTGATTTGAAGAGATCTGACAAAATTGCAAGAAAATATTTCTTTTATGTGAAATTCACTATAAAATATTTCATGACTGAAGCTCATGATAAATTGGAGGTCGGTGCTGGATCATCCTAAAGTATTTCCACATCTCTAATATTTGCAAAAATAATATTTTCTTTCGAATGTCCACCTATATATCTATATCCCTTAATTTTCTTCTACACTGACCAAACAGGAAATCAGAGCGTCCATCTCTCATTGTACCTGATGTTTGTAACATTTATTGGTCAAACTGGATTCCATATATATGCCAAGCAAGTGACAATTTTAACTTATTTGACTTGAGTCGCAGATAAAATTTTGAATTTTAAGCCTGCTAACTGGAAAAAACGTAACAAAATCAATCATTACCACGGAAGTTAGATGAGATTACATTATCGAAATAGGTGATCAATTGATAGACAACGAAGCATGCATGGGTGCATCGGCTGCTTTATAGAATTTAGACAGTATACATACATGCCTTAGTTTTTGGGACGAATTTCAACACCTTTTACAAATAGCCCTTTCTTCCAACAGCCGGCTGCGGTCTCATACATGGAGAAACTGATCTCTCCGGCATTCTCCGGGGATGTCATGAACTCACCGGCTGGTATATCTACCCACCATTTCCCTTTATGCACGTTCAAGCTCACACTCCGCTCTTGCGGCCTTGCCATACTATCGGGCAAGGTAAGCTTTAGGTTCACGGTGTCCCCCATCCAGAAGCGGTGTCTTCTAACTTCACCACGTACACAACCTCGTAATTTTTCTCTGGTGTCAGTTGTCTCGTGTCAAACTTTCCATTTACGTCTAACCAACAAACTTTTTCAAGCACAGCAGCTTCAACGAGTATCTCGCTTTAAAAAAACAAAACAAAAGTTTTTTTTATTATCTATTAGACTATTTGTGTACAAGAAGAGCAATCGCACAAGCTTCCCATTTAGAAATTTACTAAATTGAAATATATATTACTAGAATACCACTTTCCTAAATATTTTATCGTAATGATAATGCCCTATATATTATCCAAATTAAAACATGACTCTTTTTTTCTAAACAGGTGATATTTTATATTTAACCTTGTAATAAATACCTAGAAATGTTAAAATTAAAATGTTTCGTTTAGATATACAATTTTTACAGTTTTAGTTCAACGCTTCATGTTTCGAATATTTCTAACAGTAAATTTTGAAACCAAAATTTGGTAGTGGTAACATCTTTTTGTAATAAATCAAGATTTTAGTTGATGTAAAATATCTTTCCATTTGATTCAAATTTTTTTGATGCGGATTGGTTTGGATTGGTAAAAAATATGATCAAGGTACTCACACAACTACTCCCATTACAAAGAGCTTATTGGATATATAAATCAGAATTATAGAACTATTTACCTTGATGCGTCATACCGGAGAGGAAGCCATGACCAATACTCGCTGTTATCCGACCATGCAATGCCAAGATCCCTTGCGTAGACCATGCGTTTCTGTCCATAAATTATCAACATCAGCCCATACATGATTCATATATATATATATAATTAGATAACCCAAAAAAATAAAACACCAAGTACGAGACATATTTGATCCAATATGCTGATCAACGCCAGTATTTGATAGACATGACCAGTTAAAACCTTCCCTATAAGAAAATCTGCAGCTACCTGAACATCATACGAGTTCGCCATCGTGGTCTATCAAAACGCTATCTTTTGTTAGTAATTAGATGATGAATGATAAGATTTTAAGATATGTGGTTGCTCAAAAATGGTGTGTTCAAACTGGGATATTAAGAAGTTTAATTGCATTGTAGCCTTGTAGGTATATGAAAACAGAAGAAAACAAAACATAAATAGAAAAATACATATGAAAAGTTAAAAAATTAATGAATAGAAAGCACAATGTAATCTTCGTTTAGGAAGTTGATCAATACCTTCTATAGTTGACTTTGATTTAAATATTATGTTTTGTTGATTGGTTCAAGGGAAACTCAAAGTATAATCTTTTTTGAAAGTTTCTAACCGTTCACATCATTTAGCGAATAATTAACTGAAACATATTTTGGATTCCAGTGGTGGAGATAACATACATTGTCTACTTCTGTTAATACCTTTCTCCTGCATTCATTTTTAAACTTTAATAAAAAAATCAATTACCTATTACAATTAGGAAAAAGATAATGATTTTTGAAACTGAATGTACAAGTTCCAAGCTAATGGGTTTTGTCTTTAAGCTTATTGTCCCTGATTTTATTCATTTTCTCCCATTAATCATTTCGTATATTTCTATTAAACCCTTGGTCAAGATTTCTTTGTCAATACTCACAAAAATTGGAGTAATCTTTTATGAGTTTTTGTTCCGTTATATATATATATATATATATAATGCTTTCACTGTTTGATATTCACAATGTTATTATTATTATCGTCACCATGGAACAACTATTAATAAATCTCACTTCATATCATTTTTAGGAGAATAATACACATATGATGATCAAGAACAGCAAATAACACATATAATTAATGATCAATTAAGGTCTCTTCTAAACATCAAATGCAAAACAAAAAAACACCTTGTCCTAAATAATAGTATAATTATTACGTTTTAATAAAAAAGTTTAGTTTCTTCTTTTAATGGACTCCCTCCGTTTTACAAAAGAAATGGACTCCCTCCGTTTTACGTTTTATAAAGAGTGTGTTTTAAAGTTTTGTTTTTGTTTCACAAAAATTGTCGTCTTGTTGACAAAAGAAAAGATTGTTGTCTTATATTTCCAATATAATTTTTTTTTAAATCCAATTTTAACCTTATTATAGTTGTGTAGCAATTAGAAAGAATAAGTTGTTTAATGTGTTTATAAGAGATAAAAGAAACTTTTTATTGAACTTCTTAATATGTATGAAAAGTCTCACAATGATACTTTTTATTAAATGAAACAGTATTCTTTAATAACAACTTATTAAGAAATCGTTTTTCAAAATATATATATATATATATGAAACCTGGAAAACAAATATTTTTTGCCCACTGTTTAATATTTTTTTCATAAAAACTGGAAAACAAATATTTGACTACGGACCTCCGCACCTCTTGCGTCCTATATGAGCCGGCCTGACCTTTATAGTACCCAAAATGTAATCTAAAAGTGTAGTAACAGCATAGACGTGCCAAATCAAATGCATATATGACTATACAGTAAACTAAAAATATTGAAAAGTTATACGGCTTTGTGGAGACAAAGTCATCTAAAGATTACAAAAAAACATAGTCATCTACAAGTTGTAAAGTTACCAACAAGATTAACAAATATAATATAGGCAAAAGAGCTAGCTACTGACTGTATAAGTATCCTCAAGGATCACCACAAAGTACCATCAGATCTTGCCCCTTCGCAAGAGGTTCTCTCTCTACTTATTCCTCCTACACATTGTGTATTTATTTATTATCATCAATTGATTTGATTCGTCGTTTATTCTGCTTAATCATAGTAATTATGAATCTGATCTTGATAATATGTCGTCGACATTGTTGTTTTAATTCTTATTATTCACAACAAACTAATTATGATCATTTAATATTATATACAAAATATTAATCAAGCAAATCCACGGCAGAAAAAAAACCATGACACAAAGGGTGGAAGCACAAGGAGGACCTGGAGGAGGTTCATGGGACCATGGCATTAACACTGGTCTAAGGAAAATTTATGTGGGAAGAGATGACGCTTGTGTGAGTTATGTCAAGTTCGAGTATTTCAGTAACGGTACGTTGAAGTCACATGCCCATGGTATCCAGAATCAGAAACCACAAGAGGTACGTCTTACAAAAACTCTTTCATATGATTTCTTTTCTATACAACCAATAATAGTCAATAGCTCACAATATCGAATTTATTTTGGTGGGTGTATACTACGAATATATTGACAATGTGGAGTAGTCAATAGCGCAATAACAAACTATATATCAGAAAACAATAGGTATAGAATAGTTTTCTGTATTGATTATTGGTTCCAAGACCGAATATATATACAAAGGTTTCTATTCTTATTCGGATACTATACCCATAAACCGACATACTATAGAAAAGGAATATGTACATTAACATAATGTACATAAGGTATCGTAATACTATATATTTACTTAGTCGGACTCGATCTTTGACATCGACAAATAGAGAACAGACTAAATTGCTTGAGATTGTTTGTGATCTTTAAATTTACTTTTTGGTTTAATATTTTCACAGACATTGTGTTAAAAAAAGTTTTGGGGTTTGAATTTTACATGTTATTGTTGAGAACTGGAGGTCTAGCTAATTGAAATAACGTTAGTGCAAATGTGATCTCGGGACTCTAAAAAACAGGACCATGGACATATCAACATGGTTTAATATTTTCACATGTTATTATTAAACCAAATAACATTTCACATCTATATTATTCAAGGTCTCTCCAAATTCCGATGTGGGACATTATATTAAAGTTCATGCCCAATAATCTTTACCTGGTCCCAATATACACAAACCCAAAACTATATATTCAAAAGAATATCAAAATATTTGTGTACAGTATCTTCAATACCTTATTTAAGCTAAACAGATTTGTTACTGCAGTTTGTTGTCGACTATCCAAATGAATACATCACATCAGTCGAAGGAGCTTATGCTCGTGTAGATTATGTTAATGGAATTGTGATAACGTCGCTTGTCTTCAAAACATCAACGGGAAGAAAATCTCCGAGGTATGGGAACCATGGATTCGTGCTCGAGAATAATGGTCGGCAGCTTGTAGGGTTCCATGGGAAAGCCGGATACGCTTTAGATGCCATCGGAGCACATTTTGCACCTGACACAACATCATCATCGTGGGCTCCCCCTAGAAAACTTGCAGCACAAGGTGGTCCAGGAGGAGGCCCATGGGACGATGGAGTTTTCAGTGGTGTAAGAAAAGTTTATGTTGGAAGAGATGAGTCTTGTGTAACTAAAGTCAAATTCGACTATGTCAGCGCGGACGGCGAACTAGAAGAAACACGTGAGCATGGCCGGGTAAATCAAAATCCACAAGAGGTATATATATTTTCATCACAGACTCTTTATCTATGTGATTGTGAAGTTGAACTTGGATCATGAACCATAGTAGGTATTTGCTCGAATGTGATAGTGACACAAAAAAAGACAATATTACAAAACCAATAGAATAAATCATCATCTACAGTGGATATGATAAATTAAAGCACTGTACGTTCATATTATTAGTTTTATCACCATCTGTAGGCATTTAGCACATACTTCTTTTGGATTGGGAACCAAATGCGATTTTTTCCTAGGATTATTGAATCAAGATCTAAACAATCGGTTGACCGAATCTTTTTTGAGTTCATGACAACTCTTTATTAATGGAGACCATCACCTTTATCATCATCTATGTAGTTTTTGAACCGCTATCAGAGATAAAAAACTTTAAGTTTGATTGTATCTTTGTGTCGTCTTATGTACATGTCCTTGGATTTTAGTTTACATGTTTAAATCATTACGTTAAGATTAAAGTGATCATTTAAAAATTATAAACGTAAACATAAAAAAATTTTAAAAATTGTTCAGATTACAATTTTTAAAATATATACATTGATAGGAAAAAATTAACTATTATATTGATCAATATTGTTTCTTTCTAAGAAACTAATAATATTAATTGATGCGTGCAGTTCTTGCTTGATTACCCAAACGAATATATAACGTCAGTGGAAGGAACACAAGGTCTAGTGGTTCGTTATTCTAACTACGTCGTCACGAGTCTTGCCTTCACAACATCAACAGGAAGGACTTCGCTAACATTTGGAGCTACTAAGTTCGTTCTCGAAGACAATGGTCGTCAGCTTGTCGGCTTCCATGGACGATCTGGAACCGTTATTGATGCCATTGGGGCATATTTTGCAGCAGCGCCACCATCTTCTTGAGCACTGATCTTGTAAGTTATTTTAGTTTGAAACTTTTTAACATAAAAAGTTGTTCAAAGACAAATGTCGTATATTCTCCGCTTTGTTGTTGTTCTTTCGTATGTCTTATGAAATTGTGTGTTATCTCTGGAATTGTTTTTTATTTATTTTGTGTTTAAACCCAATTTTTGTATTTCTTAACGTCCTAGAATCTATTTTAACACTAGCAAATACTTTTAGGGATAGGGACTAAATACATTGAGCCCGTGACAAAAGTGGGTGCATCTAGTTCAAAAGAAAGAGAAAACTGGGAAAAAACGATCAATTTCCATATAAACTAATAAATTTTTTATCAAACCAATGCTAATAACTATATGAATTATCTAAAATTTTAAAAATATGATCGATTCCACCAAATTGTATTTAATGTTAACTGCAGTCCTAACTAGGACGACACATGTAAGATAATGTCATTTTATTATTAAATAATTAATTTTCTAATCTGTTTTAAACATTATGTTGTTATCTCTACCGTTTGTATGGCCAATTAGTCTCACTGCCGCATCGAATAGCTGGTCGATAATTACTACTAACAACTGTTCATGATTATCTAGGACTAATCCAGTGATATGGTTGATTCGAACTGAGCCATTTTAGAGGAGGAAACGATCCGAGAGAGAAAAAACACAGATTTGGGTTTATTAGAGTTTCTGGGTTTGTCGTAATCTGAATCTTTTCTTCTTCTGGTGGTGATAACTCGTTGAAAGGAAAGCCATAACCAAACAGTAGAATCTGATTATCATTAATCGGGTCGGATTCATAGCGAGAGTCAAAATACATAAACTCATATATATATATATATATATATATATTAAATAACTATAAAATATATAAATTTAAACCAAAAATACAATAATGACATTTTGGGTGTTTTAGATTTAATTTACTAAAACAATGTTTAGAATTTTTTACTTATTATTCTAATTAGCAATCGCTAACGCTGCAATTAATATCATATATGATTTTGGTGGAATCGACCATATTTCTTTAGTTCATATAGTATTTTAAAATTTTAAATAGTTTAGAGAGTTATTAGCATTGACTCATAAATTATATATGAATCATCAAGAACTTAAAAGTTTATAAGGAAATCTGCCATTTTTCCACACCCCGTGTTATCTTAGTCAGGAATCTCCAACGCTATAAATAATATTATATTCGATTTTAGTAGAATCGACCATATTTCTGTAATTTTTGTAGTATTTTAAAAAATTTAAATAAATCATATAGTTATTAGCATTGGTTATATATAAATAATTAAAAAATTATTAATTTATAGAAGAATTGGCCGTCTTCCCCAAAAGTGGGTGCATAGATGAATATTATGTTCTCATTGGACGCTGCATTGCTCAAGTTCTTGGCGATAATTTATGCAGCTCTACTAGCATTAAATGTTTTTTCTTTTTCAACAGTTTTATTTCCTAAAATGCTTCATAACCCATGTCAAAATTTCTAAGTCTATGTGTAGTGGGGATATGTTTTACCGTATATTATTTGCACCCACTAGAATTGCATCCGGACCAGCCCTATGTAAGTGCATATTTGTGACCCCTTAGCTACGGTTGGTTAGTCAAGAGAGTATGACAGATATATGATGTGCATAAAATAAAGATGACAAGTACTTATAGTAATCTCTTTACATGGAACAACTATGAAAACAATAACAAGCCCGCAGGCTTGAATACAAACCGGCTTCACCGGTGCAGCACCATCTTCAGTGGCTTCAGAATTCATAGGCAACACCACCAGTCTTCTAACATGGTGGAACGACGCCATGCCCTAGGCGTGTGAAGTTTCATGTGACGCCGTTTGCATCTTTATAACATTTGTCTTTCCATTTTTAAAAAAGACAAGTTTCCTCTTTACCTTCATATTCCTTTTTCCTTTGTTTTCTACTTTTCTTTTTTTCTTTGTCTTATATTGCCATATTCCTTTTCCTTTAAATTTTGTCTTCAAGGAATATATTCAAGACATGGTCTTCGAATATATACACTTTCCGTAAACCATTTGCTTTCTGTTATCACGCTTGATACATCGTCTGATATACCGTTTGAGCAGCTTCTCAAACCAGTTGGCAAAACATCAACACCCCATGGCAATACCACCTTAAACAAGCATTAGCTACTCTCTTCTTTCAAGAACTATATATTTGACATTGTAACCTGTTGGAAAACTGAATCTGTAAAATATGTACCACTATTTACTCAATTTATGTCAATTTCCATGCCGCTGCCTCCACCTTTGCTATTTTAAGCACTAAAGTAGCATTAAGTTCTTAGTAATTATTTCCATGCCGCTACCTCCATCTTTTACCAGTTAATTCTAAATTAATAAATCCATAAAATTTAATATAGTATCAAAATCCTAACTCGTTAACGCATATAGACTCTATTGTGGGCTTCAAAAACACCATCATTTGAAATAAGTGCATTGGAAATTCTGTATCAAAAGTTTTAAAAATATATATTCAACATGCATGAATCAATTCAATAGTTAACTAGTTCCTAGAGTATTGTTTGCGCTACACGAAAATTATAATTATAAAGTTTTCTCTTATTATTCCGGTTAGAATTTAAAGTTCAAATGAATATTTTAAAAATGTTTTTATAAATGTTAAAGAGCTAAAACTTGTGCTGATTCCCATAAAGTAAGAAGGGAAAAGATTATCCAAATATGTATACTATTCTAAGCAACTAGGTAGCATTACATCCTTCTAAGCAATTAGGAAACTCAAGTCATTTTTTAGTTTAAATCAGGTTCCGACTATAGGAAACCGAGCACATATTATCTATTTTCCGAATGCAGTCCCTTGAAAGCCTAAATATAGAGATCCAGAAATTGGATATACTTAAGAGAAGAAAGGATATTAAATTTAGCCTACTTGCAAAGGATAAGAATTGAGCAGTCCAAAATGAAATTATTTGACGAATCTTCTTCAACAAATGTTGATAATCGTATAGGAAGCTGACCCATTTCAAAGGAGCCTTGAATATATTACAGAAAGCTGACCAAATTCAAAGGAGAAACTGAAAACCATGTCGTTTCTGATGCCCTCCGAGATCCCCCAAGAAACATTGTTGATTTCTCCATACTATCCGAAGTCCAAATATCTTCGCAAAATTTTCAGACATCCTTATTATTCCTTCCACTGATCTTACATTGCTGTTTATGAGAACCATTAGATTATCAGCGAAGTTAAGCTGTGTGAGTCCAATGTTTTTTCATTTTTGATGGTAACCAAATCCATTTATACCAGCTAATTTGTCTAAAAGCTTTGATAACACACCCATGCTTATCACAGATAAGTATGGGGAAAGAGAGCAACCTTGACGAAAGACTTCTGCATTTACAAAGAAACCCACTAATTCACTATTCACATGTATTGAGAAATAAGCTGTCGTGACACGAAAGGAAATCCATTTGATAAACTTGGGCAGAAATTTCATGGCCGAGAGTGTGCCCATAAGAAAATACCACTGCACTGAGTCAAACGCTTTCGATATATCGATTTTTATAGTACATCTAGCTGATACTTCCTCTTAATTATGGTAGCATTTTACCAGTTTTGTTGTCACTAATAGGTTTTCAATCAACAACCTATCATTTATGATAGAGGATTGATTTGCGGATATGAATGCGGGAAAAATCTTTTAGCCTGTTTATTATGATCTTTGGAATGACTTTGTAGAGTACATTGCAGGCAAAGATTCGCCTGTTATCCTTCATCTATGTTGTTCATGTATTCTTTGGTTGAATGCTATAACTGTAGCATTTATCTCTTTATGTAAGAATTCTCTAACTAAGAATGATTTCACCGCATTAAGAAATTCTTGATTGATTGTATCTCACGCAGATGTATAGAACTTTGTGGAAAACGTATTCGGACCTGGTGATTTGTCCTTTGTCATTGCAGATAAGACCCCTTAGATCTCTTTTCTCGTGATTTCTAGGATACCCTAATCCTCTATCGAACTTCTAATTGGCAACAATTCTTGAAGACTTTCAGCTGTTATACCATTTATATCCTCTGGTTTATGTTGCATGAAATCTTTGAAGAAATTTTTTTCCTCCAACTTTTATCTCCTCTCTGCATGTTACCACTCGACCATCCCTGACATTGAATCTCTCAGATGGTGTTAGTTGATTCCCTGGTGGCATGGTGGTACGTTTTGTTGTTTTTGTCGCCAACATAGAGTCAATGCATCTTAGATTTCTGCTACTTGTATTTTTTCTCCAAAACTTATACAAAATTCTAACGTCTGTAAGCCACATTTTCTACTTCCATGGCTGAAGGAACGGGTTCGTAAGGTTCATATGTTGTTAATCGTATAATTCATCATATGTTTTCTTCCATTTCTTCACCAATTTCTCCATCCTCTCTTTTGTCAAAGCCCGAACCAAAGTTTTAAATCCCTTTAGCTTTTTTTATGAATTGAAAGAGAGATGAAGTCGATAAGAATATAGGCTATGTTTCCTTCCAATAGTTCATAGGCATAACCTGAAACTCCTCCAAATCTGTCACGTGATTCATGAACTTAAAATGTTTTATGATGTTGGCACTAAGTTGAGCTCGTCCTCGTAAATGCTATGAGCACTAAGTTGATGTTGGCACTAACCTTTTCTAGCTAGATAGGTTTAAAATTTTCTCCGACCTTCACTGTTGCTTGTTCCACGACCATCTTTAGGTTCCTCCTCTCACAGACTCCTGGTTCTTTCCACCCCTTCCCGCACAATCATTTGCTATGTGTCCCATTTTAACTCTACCTCTGCATCAATACCCATGGTTGATTTGAAACGATGTACCTTGGACAACGTTTTGGACATGTATGCTTTGAAGAAAATATTTGCTTCTTCAAATTTGGAGCATTGTTCCGTGTCTGGATGTCCCACTGCTTTTGCAGTTTGCAATGAAGCCGATTCCAACCCATGAATACATCTGATGCAGAACATTATTCAAAGTA